CCCCCCCCCCCCCCCCCCCCCCCCATCCTCGACAGGGACTTCGTTGGCGCCTGGCACCCCCACCATTCCGCTGGGCCAGCTGCAGCAGCACTCGCTGGCCATCCAGGGCCAGCAGGCCCAGTCCATCCCTGCCGCGCCCGTGCAGCAGAACCAGCAGGCTGTCTTCCGCTTCCCTACCACAGTCTCCCTCGCCGGTGAGTGCAGCCCCCACCACAGCTACTCCAATGGCTGCATTCACTGGGATGGCTAAAAGGCCACGAGCAGTATTACAAACTTAGGTGCATAAAAAGTAAAAAGGCAACCCAACCCAAAAGATACAAACTTAGGTGCATAAAATATCTTTTGGGTTGGGTTGCCTTTTTACTTTTTATGCACCAAAGTTTGTGTCTTTTGGGTTGGGTTGCCTTTTTAGCTGAAGAGATGGAGCTGTGGATGTGTGATGGACGCCATACATGCTTGTTTGCTGCCCTGCACACTTCCTATTGGACTGGCTTGCCAGTTTTATTGGAGTGAGCGGTTTAATGGGCTTTAGTCAGATGATGTCATGGCTGGCGATTGAATGAAATGAAACCTGCATCTCATTGGCTTAGGGGCCGGTATGACCCAGCAGCTGCAGGCCATCCAGGTGCATCCAACCACGCAGCAGAGTGGCAACCCCAGCGACGGCAGCCAGGAGATCTCCCAGGCTTCTACAAGCGCCACAGGTACCGGCTCGCACCTTTTAACGTGGTCTCTTCTGAAAGTAGACTCGTTTGCAAGATGCGTGCCAGCTTTTAAATTACGTGCGGCCCTGCGGCAATTTACCATCTCATCCCACACACACGCTGCATACATAACACGTCGGTATGACTGTAGATGTAGTAATGCTCATATTCTGCTTGGGGATGGATTCCCGTTGACTGTGGCAGCTGTTTGGCAGCCCAGCCTCCAGGGGGCACCGGCTGCCAGGTGTAATAAAGGCACCTGACAACATCGTGAAATGCGCCGCAACCGGCACCGCTGCATGCTCAAGTTCAAGCGTGCAATTTTAAAATGACAGTGGAGCAGATGTGTAATGCGGTAGATCTGCTCACCGTACCACACCAAAAGGTGTCCGTTGTGTAGGGGAGACCCCCCGGAAACGATGTGGCCTGGTAGCCCTCCCCTTCACCATACTCATGCCATGCGGCATCCAGGCCATTTGTTCTTCTCTGCAGTGCGTGTCTGGAAAGCAGGCAGCCTTTATAAGAGCCAAAGCATTTGGTTGCCTTGGAAGGTTTACGCACACTGACTTGTCATATAATCTCAAGCGCAGGTGAAGTGCGGAGTAGAGGAGTCTCAAAAAACTGCTAGTAGCCCCTGGTCGTAAGGTGTATGTTCACGATGAACCAGGCACTAGCGATGCCCCCGGTGTGTTCCGGGACGCTGAGCGCCCTGCGGTTCGCGTTCTGCCATAGGCATGTGTATGCTGTCGCATTTAAAAGTTGCATATGGCTGAGCAGACTGCCGCAGAGGCCCTCGCACCTGTGCAGGGATTCCCCTGGGAAGCTGGTGAGGTATCGGGGAGGAGGGAACGCCATTCTGCCCTGGAATGCTGCTCTAGTGGCCGTAAGCTGCCATCAGGCCTCCGGGACACAACCTCACACGATAAGCGCTCTGCAAGGCTGCTGGTCTTTCTGCAGAAGACATGGGCTGTAGCCCAGCAGGGCATTCTCTCTGAAGAGTGACAGGTTCCCCTGCATGGCAGCTGGAGCTGCAGTGCCATCTAGTGTTCTTTCAGTCACACTGCAGGCTTTAGCACGACAGCATGTTCGTGTTTTGCTGCCTTTAGCAGTGCGGCGTGCCCTGAATCTTTTGAAGAATCTGCTTCTAATTTCTTGCTCTCCTGCCCCCCCAGTGAGCCTCCCAGCCACCATCGTCACCACCCCGGTGCCCACGTCCATGGCGGGGCACATATACCCAAGCCCCCACACGGTGATGTACGCCTCCACACCCGCGCTGGCTGACGGCAGCCTCACGGTGCTGAATGCCTTCTCGCAGGGATCCTCCGCCATGCAGGTGTCCACACAGGGCCAGGACACTGGTAAGGCCTGTAACTGGGGAGCCGACTTGACTAATACCGCAGGGGTGGGTTTTGTGATTGGCTTCGTGAAGTTAGATGTCAAACATGATGATGCAACTGCACACATAGGCTTTGCTTAGCGAGTCCCTTCATCAGTCTGTTAATATCGAGCCTGAGCCTTTGTAGCCCTGCCACTGGTCACCGCAGTGCAGTGTTGCTGAGCCTTGGAGAGGATGAGGGACGTGCTGTGTTCTGTCACTTCCAGGAGCTGTACCTCATGTGTTCCTCACAGCGCCGGTCTCCGCAGTGCAGATCCACCCAGTACGGCAAGATCTGTTTCACCTCTTCCCTGCATGTCCTTAAATGCAATCGTCTGCTAATGCACGTTGTGCTGCTTTCCTAACCAATACGACATCACTTCAGGGTTTTGGCTGAATCTCATTATGCGTACTTGACCGTACTTGTGTTCTCATGTACCCGTTTTATGTCATCTTCCATTGCTGAAGACCAGATCCAACCCCAAATATCAAGTATGCATCGGCTGTAGCCTTGCCAAATGAGAACAATCCCATGATTCATTGTGTGCTTTTGTGATGGCAAAGGAAGAAGGCAGGAACCATACCTGTACTACCTTAATCAGAGTTTCTATCGTTCCTCTCAGTATTTTCTTGCTGTTTCACTTTTTTGGCTAGTGACACTGCTGAACTTGAATGGTTAAGACCCACGTATAGCGTTTGAACAGAGTTAAAATAAATACGAATATTTTAAGTGTAAACTATTTAGTAATAAATTATACCAGGAATAATTCATTTAGACTGGGCATTTTGATAGTCATTTATTAAATACTACGATAAATTACAGCCGCGGTGATCAGCTGGATGTACAGAATAGTGGAACAGCAAGTACACAAGTACAAATCTGTTTCAGTACACAATTGGTGTGTTCTCTGTCCTCGTGATCTTGCAAGATAATTTCTGAAAGGCAAGTTCACAAGACCGGTCTTGCAAAGACCACAAGTACGGTCTTTGCGTTCTTGGTATTGAGATTCACCCTTTGTGTGTGAGGCTGTGTCAGTCTGCTCAGTGTGCGCAATCATCTCCTCCCTCATTTTACCCAAACTGGATGTTGGAGGCCTTGTTAAGTCATGTTCCAAAACTAACTTTGTCGAAGAGAAGCTGAGCTGTACTAAGAGTGATTCTTTAAAGCAGCAAACACCTCGGTTTCCCAGCATCCCCCTCTCTGTGCCCCAGATGGTGATTGGGCAGCAGGCAAGCGGCGGGGGCAGCGGTGGTAACCTGACAGAGCTGCAGGTGGTCAACCTGGACGCCCCGCCCCACAATGCAAAGAGTGACTGATGGACAGCGAGGCCGGGAAAGGGGGCGGCTGCAGGATAGGCTGCCGCTGCTCTTATCGACACTTTTCAACAGTACCTTTTATTTTAAACACCTTATTTAGACGAGTATAGAAACACTGCAGCATAGGAGTGAGATGGATGTTTCTACCTTCTGTGGATCTGTTCTTGTCCACCCAGAACTTTTTGGACTTGAGACATGCACACTGCAGGTGCTGTGGCTTTAGCCAAAGAGACTTTTTTTTTTTTTTTGTGTGTGTGGGTGTGTGTTTCTATGTATGGGGGAAGATTGGATGGGAAGGGAAGTTTCAGATCCAATGTAATGTAGAAATGTACATTTTTTTTTTTATTGAAAGATTTGGTATTTTTAGCACGCTGTGCCATGGCATGTGGCTGTTTTTAATGTTTTGTATGTATATGTGACTCATTTCTATGTAATTTACACAGGTATGTAAATTGAATGTAATATATTTCTATATTATGTTGAGCAGTTAAGGGGGAGAGCAGACAATGTCAAGCCATTTTTTTTCCCCTCTCTCTCCCCTTTTGCCTCTTGCATTTGGGTGAAACTTTGTGCCAAAATGTATCCACTGCCGCGGCTCCATCCATTTCTTTTGTAGTGTGTACACACACCCCCTCACCATCCCTACACTGACAATTATATAAAAACATAGGCACCGTCAAAGGTCTGCCTGCAGTTCCGTCACTGGCATTACGGTGGCATTTCTGGTGAGAGGAAAGGAGCCTGGGTAACACAGCGTGGACCTGCTCTTCCTTGTGATTGGACACAGCGTTGGCATCCTGGACACGGCAGCCCGCAGACGACTCTGCCGCTGTCTTTCGGTACGGCACGTTCTGTTAACGTTTTCAGCAGGTAATGTTCATGTGGGCATCTGGTCCCTGTGCCTTTACCCCTGTACAGCCTGGTCATGGAATGCTTTCCTAGGAGTGTTTTGCTGCTGGAATCTCTAGGCGTTATACTGAGACCTGATGCAACTCTACAGCAGCTTTGGCGATGGACGACGGCACGCTCCTCCTCTGTTTGAGTCCAGTGTCTGGGTCTACTCTGCAGGACCCCGGCTGGGCTGAAGGATGCAAAATTGTAGAAAATGTATCACGAATAATTGCTGAGCAACTCAGGAAAGCCATTTTTGTCATGTATTCTGGACATACGCCTTGGACATACTGTAAAGGTGGTGGTCTTTGCCGTTACTGGACCGCTCCACTCTGTGTGGTTCTCCAGAGCCTTCTGATGCAAAGAAACATTTCCGCACTTTCAGTTACTAAATGTACCCCAGTCGGCGTGGAGGTGATCCTCATCATGGCCAGAGGCTCCCTGGGCACCGGCTGCTCCTCCGCACACCATCAGTCTCAGCATCTGCTCATGGTTGCTGATCCTTGTGGTTATCAGCTTGTTTATGAAGAAGCTTGTGATAGATTATCACAGGGGCCCAGGGAAGCAGGTGTGGGAGGTGCTGCCGTGCCAATGTGATTTGTTGAGTAGAGCCAGAGGCTGCTCTGAAAGGTCAGCGCTGTCTTCTGGCGGCTGTTTGGTCGATCAGATCACCCTCTGCTCAGACATCCTACAAGAAAGGGACTCTTGACTGTTAACCCTTGTCTGTTGTTAAGCTTTTTTATTATTAAAGACTGTTGAACATCTGCTCAGTTTACTAGGCACATGATACTTTACAGTCTTTGCGTGAAGTGATTTGGGGGCAACTTGGCCGGGCTGAAGCAGAGGTGTCCCGTGTGTGTAAGAGACCAGTTCTAACATGGTGGACTGGCTGTGGTGAATAAGTTTTGGCTGAAATGATCACCTTGGATTTTATTTATCACTGATTTGCCCACCTTTCCTTCACACGCTAAAGCCCTCAGGGCTATGGGGTAGATACCAGCTGTTCCACTGCCCCGTTGTATCTCCGTATCATCAGCCACCCACTTTATAGAGGAGAGGTAGAGCTAAGGGGTGTGTGCTGATCACAGCATGAGGCCGCACCCACCGCGTGAGGAACCACCTTAGGGATGAGAACCTGACTGTAACCATGCAGTGGGTGGTACCTCAGCACCACACTAGTCTGAATGGACTAGTGCTTGTTTTCCGGTGGCTGTAGTGCCAATCCTGCCACCAACCTCAAAATTTCCCTGTACGTTTTTGGACCTGAACAGCTTAGCTTTGAACGTGTTACAAGCCCGACCATAAATCCAAAAATGTACTCTTTGATCTTCACGGAAATTACCCAGACTGAAGAGCAAAACACGAATATAGGTCTTGCTAGGCAAGGAAGCAATGCAAAAGGCCGACCTTCCCGATAATGGTGCCTTTGAAATTCACAAACACTTGTGTCCTATGACATTTCAATGTTTAATCTAGCAGTAATATTTAAATGACTATATGAAATTAGTAGCTCAAACTGTACAATTATTTCTCCATTGTACAAATGACTAATGCATGTTGGGAATTATGGTCATTTGGATAGATGGACGTGGACCACTGTTGGTCACGTGACTGTGGCCACCGAGAACCGCAGCGACTGGGGGGCGCTGTTGTGGTTTTTTAGCCATCAGAATTATCAGGGCGGATGATTAAACAGGAAACTTAGCTTTTTTGTTTCCCGGTTCGGGGGCTGGCGGGTTCAAGCTGGTCATTTTTGTCGTGAATGCAGTCAGTGTGTGTTTATCTTGTCCTGCCTTTGCCGGGTCCTGGTCCTTCCTCCCGCAACAAAGCACTCTTCCGTCCCTTTCATAAAGCACAAGCGGTTCTTGGAAGAGGAGGACGCCGTCAAATATGACTTTAATACAAGCGAAAACATAGACTAGAACCTCCTGTGAGGTGAGTTGTAATCAGGGCCAAAAGGTCAACAAAAAGAGCCCAAAAGTATACAGTGGAAGAACTAAATTTATAGCCCCAAGCAGAGTCCTGGGCATTTGCTGGGGGCGCCAGACCACTAGGGGCGCACTAGGAGGGCTGCAATAATATTGCGCAATGGGCCGCCATCATGGTGCAACTAGATTCAGTGACACGAAGTAACTTTAGTTAAAATCAAAATAAAAACTATATAAATAGAGAAATGACATTACTGGCCGTGACCCACACCCATTGAAAACAAAATGATTGTGAGCCGCCCGCTGGCCGTTGTGAGTATATCGTTAATTATATGGTTTTTCAAACGTCATGATTATAGATTAACAAATAAAAGCAATTAAACGTAAACTTCTGATCGATTTACTTTATCCTTGGGTGTGCGGCTTTCATTTAGCTTCATTTCATTTAGCTTCTTTTTGCTTTCCTCTCTTAATCTGTGATGCTAAGCTAATAGACTGCTGTGTCTCAAGTTCGATGCTGGTGCCCAGTTAATGTTGGTTCTGTCATACGAAGTGGCCGGTTTGCCCAACTTGTTTCTAGGTGGAATTTTTAAACATTCAGAAATTTTGTGCGTCCTGTAATGACAATTTTTATTATTTATAAATCTGTTTATCTTTTAATGCTAATTACATAATTACTGTCTGTTTCTCAGAGCTAAAGCTAAAACGGCGTGTCATTGCACTACACTCCGGTGTGAAAAGAAAGCTGGTTAGTATTAAGTCTCAAAGTACGAGTAGTCCATTACAGCTGGGACCGGGGAACAACTTTGTCTATTCTGAAAACTGTCGTTAAAATTGCAAATATACATGTTGCTACAATTCAAACGATCGTGTAGCCATTATTGTAATTTCTGGAAACTGCCTTCATGGAGCCCCAGGTGACTCATAAGGTATGGATGAGGAGTGACCTATAAGTCCGACCCTGAATGACTTCAAGATTCAAAGCGTTTATTGTCGTATGTGCAGCAGAAAAGTGCATTTCTCTGTGCAATGAAATTCTTTCATTGCTGTAAACACAAAATGCCAGGGTATAATATAATAGAAAAAATAGTAAAGAAATACTTTGAAGTGTAGTGTGCAGATGTCGAGAATTATTAATTGTGCATTTGTGCAAATTGAAGATGTGAAAAAGAGCTTAATAGGCAAAAATTACAGTATGAGGTAGAATGTCGAGAAATATTAACTTTTGTGCAAATGAAGAAGAATGATGAACAGTTAATTTACTTCATAGATTCTGACTAAACAATCCTATTCCCTTAGTAAAAAAAATATAACTTATGCCCGACTACGGCGATCGTAGGGCATCCAAAAATTAACGATAACTCAAAAATTGTGTCCCTTCACGGAAAATTACTCAGACTGAAGGAGCGCCATCTGCAGTACAGAACGTAGTGTGAAGGAAGCGATGCGGAAGCCTGACGTTCCAGCTAGTGGTGGTTTTGAAATGCTCAGGAGAACAATGTCACATGTTATTTCTATGTTTTATTTCGCTGTCATTAAAATGCATGGCAATGTCATTAGTAGTTTAAATTATAAAAGTGTTTCCTCTCTGCATAAATAACTAATGTATTATGAGAATTATGGTGATTTGGATAGACGCATGCAGGACACTGTTGGTCACGTCACCGAGGCCGGCCACTGTGGTACGTTCCTGTTCATCCTCGGTGTCTGGGTTTGTTACGGCAAGGCGGCTGGGTGATACACTATGTTTACATTTTCCGTCCTTTCCGAGAATCGCGTCTGCTATACCAAAAAGGAGGAGTGAGTTTAATACTAGACGTAAGCTCTGGCCCAATTTAGGGGCTGTAGCCTTTGTAGTCCTGATAAAAATCTGTGCAATGTATCTTGGGACGCAAATGTAGGGACAGCCTTGTCGCGCCGCTATGACGTCACCTAGGTTAATCACAACCAGAAACGCAACGAACGTGTACAGTGACACTAATTATTGCGGAACCCGCGGAGTCCCGAGAAATTATAGTTTTTATCTTGTGCGCATAAGAATTTATCCTGAGCGAACAAAATATTTATGCTCAAGGTAATTACTATGCGCACAGTATATTGTAATAAGCGTCCTATAATGTTAGTTTTGTACTACGTCTGCACACAAAACATAAATGAGGTATGCTGTTGTGTATATAATTTTAAAAGGTATACTTGCCAGCAAGATAATACTAAATTAAGTTGAATGTATCAAAATCCCTTGTCATTTATACTACCGTCTAACCACTTTTCCCCCTCATATTTTTGAGTCTTCAAAATTGGGAATCGGAGAAGCTTCTATTCGGAATTAATAATCGATTGTGCTTAATTTTGTATAATTACCCCAACTGAATAAAAAACCTGATGTTCCCGGAAATAGTGGTTCTTAAGTACACACGAAAGGCGTGTCCTACATTTCCCTATTACTATCTGAAAGTAATATTAAAATGTATTTGAAATTACTAGTTCAAACTGTAAACGTGTTTGCACTGTATACAAATGTCTAATCATGCTGGGAATTATGATAATTGGACTAGACGCCGGAGGACCGATGTTGGTCACGTGACTGATTACGCGGAACCCGCACACTCTGGTTTTGTGCGGTGCTCCAAGTCCGTGTATTATTAAACACTTTGGGCTTTTTCCCTAATTCGCTTAGAATTTCACCGAGGCCCGGTGAACTCCAAACCGGTTTCCAAACTCTGCTTTTCAGGTTTTTTAGAGTTACAGTATTACCACCTTCTTCTTCTGAATCACATGTTAATTCACTAGTTTCCTTGCTGACTAGTTTCAGACATTTTGTCTAGCTCAATTAATTTAATAATGTACTTCACTTGATTTAAATTTTAGGCCAGAAATTGATATTGAATGAGTTATGCAGATATATCTCATAATTTTGCATCTCTCAAATATTCTTTATGTTGTGATATTTATGAGTTCGGTATGCAATAATTTGTGAAATTTGCAACAAAGGTCCATATTTAATTTAAATTAAATTTTTGGCCAGAAATTGATATTGAATGAGTTATGCAGATATATCTCATAATTTTCCGTCTCTTTCAAATATTCTTTATGTTGTGATATGAGTTCAGTATGCAATAATTTGTGAAATGTGCAACAAAGGTCCATATTTAATTTCTGGCAAGCGATAAGGAGTCATTTATTGTTACAGTAACAAAAGAAACACCCCCAATGGTATTAAAATCGGTCCTGGACTTCGGGTCCCCCGTAATTAAGTTAATATATATTATTTTTGTGTCTATTTATTTGTCTTTACATATGCTGTGTAGTTAAAGATCCTTTAACTGTACAACTTTCCTTTTATTCGGTTTCCAGTGATGACCAGATACCTGTTGTGTTGCTGATGTTGCGCCAGTAACAATTAATATCCAGAAGGGGGCAATGAAGAGTTTAAAAAGGAATGTATCAGGGAGGAAATTGTTTTGTGCGGTTTACCGGGGGTCGCAGAACGACGCGGTATGATCGTTGATCACCGTTTCAGCGCACCGTCGGTATAGCGTCCTCGAGGCCAACTTCGTTTATGATGATCCCCCCCCCACTCTCCATGATTGGCTGGCATAATATGACGCCGTGGGGTTAGTCAGCCTAACTAATTATGTTGTTACAGGCATAATTTGCTCCGCACTTTAAATACTGTAAATCAGTATGTGTATCCCTATATTCCCTTTAATAGTAAATGTCGTAACCGAAATGTCTTCTGTTAGTCTGTAACTGAGTGTTGTGTAAATTGTATTCCCGGTCTGTGGCGTTGCTAGTGTGAGACCAGTAGTTTCTGTTAATAAATATAACTGTTTTAAAAGAGTTGTCACCTCCCCCCCCCAC